AGTGTTAAATAAAAGATAAACAGTACCTAATGCTGTTGAGAGCAAAGCAAGCACACAAAATAACTGAAACATTTCCAGACTCTTCAAGTAATTTATGCCCTGGAAAAAAAAATCACATAAACTTTACAAACTAGTAAAGTATTAGTAAATGATTAACACATCCCAAATAAATATAGCTGCAGTTCTATGACACTGGAATGAAGCTTATTATGTGAGCTCACTTACAGTTTTTGAAGGACAGGAGTAAACGTCTGAGATGTAGGTAATGCATGCATCACTCTGTACTTAAAACTTCTACAAGGGCGGCTTTATAATACTGACAGCTGACAGCTGATTGGCTCCTATAACAGGAAGTTGAATTGGGCCTGAACCACTCACATTAGCGGGCATAAATATAGAGCTCAATATTCAAATTGTCACTGCTGGGTTACAAACCTGATTTAGCCAAAGCAATATCAAGATATAAAAAAATAAATAAGAATACATATTACAAGTTAAAAAATGGCTCAGACGGTTAAAAAAAAAAGAATCACATTAATAGTATAATAATCTTGGAACTTTACTTATAGTTACTGATTTTTATCTGAATTACTGAATATTTAGTATTTAATTCACATTCTTTGAGTGCATGATGACAGAACATAAGATTAAATACTGCCACAGCTTAAATATAGACATTTCCTTCCAGTAAATAACTTAGCTTAAGCAAAATATCTTTACAGATCTGTGAACAGACATTTTGAGGGGCAGGCTCGAGGTTAAAAGGCCACGCTGAACCTGAATAAATTTTATCTAATTTATCTCATATAGCAGACATTCTTATCCAGAGAGAGGCAATTTAAGTATATTTCAGAGCCAAGTAAACGTAGTGCTAAGATTGTTTCTCAATGTAACTTAATGTACTGCCTTTTGTGCAAAATATTGGATTTTCCGCATAAGGACTTGACCCCGATCTCCAGCAACAGAGCTATGGTGTTAATCACTACACTACTTACTATTAATGAATGTGTTATAACTCTTCTTAAGCTGGTGGTCTCTTTAAGAGGTGCTACTAGTGATACTTTGCATACTTCGTTAGCCCCTTTTTACCCTGTTCTTTAATGGTCAGGACCACCACAGAGCAGGTACTTTGGGTGTGGGTGGGTGGATCATTCTCAGCACTGCAGTGACACTGACGTGGTGTGTTAGTGTGTGTTATGCTGGTACGAGTGGATCAGACACAGCAGTGCTGCTGGAGTTTTCAGCACTGTGTCCACTCACTGTCCACTCTATTAGACAATCCTACCTTGTTGGTCCACCTTGTAGATGTAAGGTCAGAGACAATAGTTCATCTGTTGCTGCACAGTTTGTGTTGGTCATCACAGGACGCTGCCCACAGGACACTGTTGACTGGATAATTTCGATTAGTTGACTATTCTCAGTCCAGTGACACTGAGGTGTTTAAAACTGCTGTGTCCGATTCACTTGTACTAGTGCAACACACACTAACACACCACCACCACATCAGTGTTACTGCAGTGCTGAGAATGGTCCACGACCCAAATAGTACCTGCTCTTGGTGGTCCTGTTTTTTTTTTGTTTGTTTTTTTTTTCCCCCAATTTAATCGTCTCCAATTCCACCCACTAGTTAGGACTCCCCCAGTCACACAATACTTCCAGCGTGCTAGGAGGATGATGCCCAGCACAGGCTTCCTCCGAGTCCTGTGAAGCCAGCCACCGCATCTTTTCAAACTGCCACTCACGCAACGTCATTGGACAGCTGAACGCGCTCGGAGGAAAGCGCCCACTACCAGTTCTGTTACGTCAGCCTACGCTGACTAGCATTGCGTTAGGTGATGGGGGAAGGGGGGGAGGCATCCTACCCACCCAGAGAGCGAGGCCAATTGTGATCTCTTGGACTCCCAGCCACAGATGGCTGTAGCATCACCAAGGATCAAACTCGCGATCTCCATCACCAGGGATCAGACTCTCTATCTCCTGATGATAGGGCCAACGCTTAGACGGTTGCACCACTCAGGAGCCCTGGGGTCCTTGTCTTTGAAGAACAAGGTAAAAGGAGGCTAACAGAGTATGCAGAGAAACAGGTGGACAGTCTGTAATTGTAGAACTACAAAGGACACTTATATGGTAAAGGAACTGACAAAATGGACAATGACTGCAGATACAAGCAGGTGTATGTAATAAAGTGGCCGGTCAGTTTATGGTCTGGCCGATTACATATTCCCTTAGATTTACTAAAGTTTGAGCAATAAATTGTCCCCAGTTTTGCACTGGATTCTCCTTGTCTTTTTAAAACCAGCCATACGTTAGCAGTAATGTTCCAAAGGCGTCCTTTACCAATGGTAATCATCAATGACAGTAGTGGCTAGATGGAGTTACAGGCCTCAAACACGTGCTGAAAGAATATTTACTAACAGAATAACACTGTTTCTTCCCTGGGATCCGTGCACTGACTACTAATCAGTCCTAGGCACAGTACACCTGCTTGGTTACTTACCTTTTCATTATAATGTCCTTATTAATCCATTTGTTTCACAGATTTAATTAATTTTATTTTAGGTAAGCATCAATAGGCTTCTAACATTCAGTGGTAAACCATGATTATAAAAATCACTCAAAACTAAGGGGGAAAAGAATTCTATGATAATGCTAATCACTGCTAGAGCTACCATGGTATCCTACTACTTCCTACTACAAAGAAGTGCCACACCTGTTTTTCATTTCTAACTACTGACTAAACCGTGGTTAGGCTACAGTTTGTATTCACAGTCAGTGATGTAGTGTAGTGAAGTAAATTGGTTCCGCTCATTGTACATTAAAACCTGATTGGCTGATTCCTCTGTTAGTTCTTAAAGTTTCTAATAATGTTATGTAGTCTGACCCATTAGGCCTTGATTTCAGCTTCTGAAGTCCTAACCAATAAGAGAGCTTGCTTGACTTTATCTACCTAGATACCACAGAAAACAGGTCTTAACCTTTTGTTTCCAATCAAAATTTAACTATTAAATAAAAATCTTACTACAATACTTGCCATGGTTAAAGACGACCATGATGATTAGACTGAAAGAACAAATTATATTAACTGAAAAATTAACTAAAGATTACAGACATGTTTTGTTTTTTTTTTATTGCACAGTAATTCTTAGGCCTTCTCTGAAGGCCTAGAAGGCCCTGATGATTCCCCACTGCTAATACTGGTTTTCACTGGTCAATCTGAATACTTGCTCTAATGATTAGGCTCAGTGTCTTTCTTTATTCAACTCTTATTATTGTGTTATTGTTTTGCTATCCAGTGTTGACCAGAGCAGGATGGGTTCCCCTTTTGAGTCTTGGTTCCTTTCAAGGTTTCTTCCTCTTGCTCTTAGAGGCTTCGACCCATTGTAATAGACAATGCCCATGTGCTATACTACTGAGCCCCACTGGTGACATCCTGTATAAATAATGCGTGGCCACAACTTAGTAAGGCATGGTAACAAGATAATTATGTTGTGACCACAACTTAGTAAGCTATGGGAATGAAATCATCATGCATGGCTACTACTTAGTAAGGCATGATCTCATTCCCATGCCTTACTAAGGGGTGGCTATGGCTTAATTATCTCATTCCCACACCTTACTAAGTCGTGGCCATGCATTAAGATTTCTTTTCTAAGCGTTAATAAGGCGTGGCCATGCATTATTTTTATCTATATGGGATGTCAACAGCAGGGCTCCGTACTATACAAATAAAATTGAATTGAGCATTTTAGTCCTCATGGGGCGTTGATGTGGCTGCAACATGTGCTCTTAATATTAATCTTTCCCAGTTTTTATTTTTGTGCACCTGTACAATGATTTTGTCTGAAAGACTATTAACTGTGCTATCTCTTCCTCACTGAACTCACACAAACGTATTGGCGACTTCACCATTTCACCACACCTTTCAAACTTGTGCTTAAGAACAACACAGTTAGCAGGTGGTCTTGTGCACAGTTTGCTTAGAAAGGTTAACATCAGTTTCAGGCATAGTGTGTCATTCATCTCACCAACCGTTCTTCAAACTCTAATATTAAGGGAAGGACTGAGTGACAATTTAAAAATATTTTTAAATGTATTCATGACCAAGGCCTGTACATCACCTTGTATTTTGTATTACGTCTTTTATAAGAGAATAAAATGCTATTTTATGCAGTTTAATCATCTTATTTTCTTTAATATCAATTTACATTGACTAGCAAATTGCATTATAACATAATTTCCTCTAATACTATGTCTAGTTTAACCAATCTTCATATGATGTGATGAAAGCAGATTGGCCACATTTATATTTACCTAAAAGGGTTTTTCTATTGTTACAAGCTTGACATTGTAACAATAGAAGAATTTTTTTGGTGCTACATGAAACCATTTAAAAAAATGCTTCTGTATAGAATCGTATACAACATTTTCTCCATCAATCTAAAGAAAGATTTTACCATGCAAAGAACCATTTAAGCATGCAAATGGTTCTTTGAGTGTTCATGATTCCACATTGAATCATTGTCTTTACTAAAGCGCTTTTTTAAGAGTGTGCACCAGATGGAACATACACTTCAGTGATTACTCATTTTATTATCACACAGGCCAAACATGATTCTTTATTGTATTACTGAAGGTCTAGAGTTCTGTTAAGTACTAAGAATATGGAAACAATATAAGCATTCCTTACATAAGATGCATAACCATCATGTAAAAATAAAACATGACATACAAACAGGTTTAGATGAAAGTATTGAAGACATTACAGAGTCTCAGCACATACTGGAGAACAAATAATAAAGCCTACTCACACTTGCAGCCTCTGTTCTGTCTTCTCAGTAGTTACACTATTAATGTAGATACGGTAAATCAGACTGAAGGTACTTAAAACATACTGCATTATTAGCAATTAGCCAGTTATTCCTCAGTCTGCAGTCATTACAGTAGCATGGGAATAGGAGAGAGCTTTATAAGCTTCATAAAGTTCAGTTTTGTTGGTAATAAATGACCTTTGAGTTCACATCTTCAGTCTTCTGCTGTGGTTCATTGCTGAAACTCTCGGCTGCAAAGTACGAAGCTTCATCACATGCAGCCTGCAGAAAGAGACTGAATCATTACACTGTATTTCACAGTTTCACTGCATAATCAGACATTTTGTAGCCTCATAGTCGAGTTTATCAGAAAAGATTTACAAAGTGAATTAATTACCTGATGTGCATGAACTGTGTGACCTTCAGCAGCATCTTCAACAAATAACAAGTAAATAATTTAAACTGTGCACTATTACATTATAAAAGTTCACTGCATTCATACACTAACATTAGATATTAATAATAATATCAGTTTCAGAGGTGAAACCTACCTTTATGATGACTACTGTGTTTTCTGCACATAAATAAAGCCACACTCAGAGAGATGATGTTTGACACCACTAACACGACAATGGTTGGGTCCAAAGCATGTTTCTCTATAATAAGCAAGGAAAATCATTACAATTTTATCAAAATTTATGACGCTGAAATACATCAAAAATTAAGCGGTGATGAACATGAGAAACACATTGTTTCATAATGATATAAATAGATCTAGAAGTCTAAAACAAATAGTTTTAAAAGGCCGTTATATAGAAACAGTTTTTTTTAACCTTGTTATACAACAGAGGTGGAAATATCGTTGCGTTTCACAAGACTGCATAAATCCACATCATTTGTTATTTGCATCATTACGAAAAGAAAAAAAGTTTCCAAATGTGAAAGATATTCTGAGAAAATTACATTGTCAGAAAAAAAAACATACTGTACACATACTCCGCACAGGCGGAGGATATGCTTGTAATCAAAGGCCAAACCTTGACGATAAGCTTGACCATTAATTTGAAATATATAAATTATGAAATATCTGCTCTTACCTACAAAGTCCAGTTTAGTTCCGTTCCCAAAGATGATCTCTCCACACATGAGCACAGCACAGTAGTAAGTTCCAGCATCAGAGAGGCTGAGGTCTCTCTTGGGGAGTTTATAGACACAGCTCTGTGTAGGAGAATCAGTCTCAGAGCTTTTCTTACACTCATCACTCCTGTTTCCATGAGTGTAAATGACTCCTGGATGAGATTCTCCTGATCCATGTCTGAACCAGTACACACTGTGTTCTCCTGCAGACGTATCTGTGAGTATTGAACACTGCAAAGTTGTATCTCCTCCCAGTTCAACAGGATCTGATACAGGAGGCTGGAGAACAGCAGAGAGACTTGAAGATGAACCTAAAGAGAGGAAAATGTTACTGATTATTGAGTGAGATATAAATATACAAAGTCTAAAAAGTCTAAAAGCAGACTGTAGTAGACTAACACCTACCTTTGAGGACTAAAACTGTGCAGTCTAATAATGTAGCATCTGTATAATATGTAAATACACAGTAATATGTAGCTGAATCAGATGGTTCTGCATTTGAAATACTCAGATTAAAACTGCTTTTTTCACTTGCTACATTAAAGCGTCCGGTCTTGTCAAAATCATTATGATATTTAACTTGTAAAGTGTCAAAAGCAGAAGCAATGAGAAGAGGCTTTTCTCCTGGAGTCTGTTTGAACCATGCAGTCGCTGCCGGATCAACGGGTGAAAAGAAACAATTCAGACTAATATTTTTCCCACCATTAATGTACTTCGGTCCATTTAGACATGGAACATCAATTGAGGTGCCACCTAAAAGGCAAGAAATCCGCAAGAAAATAAAACAAAACCAAAAATTCAGAAAATGCATGAAATATGTACAGCTATCCATGTGCTTCCTAAGTAAGACAAACAAACTTTTTTGAAGCAATGAAAAAAGTTTAAACTGTACCGAATGCACTACCGAAGAGGAAAATAAGCATATAAAATTGAATCATTGCCAAACTCTTCAAGTAATCCTTCTCCTGAAGAAAGGGAAAAAAAAACATTATTTATATTCTGCTGTATTAATCAAACACTTCTGGTGATAATAATAATAATAATAATAATAATAATAATAATCATAATAATGATCATAATGATCTATGTCACTGGAATTTAGTGAATTCTGGGAGCTCACTTACAGTTTTGAAGGACAAAAGTAGCCTTTCACAATGTAGTTAATATGCACGCAAAACTCTGCAGGCGCAGCTTTATAACTCTGGCTGAAAGCTGACTGGCTCCCATAACAGGAAGTATAATCAGGCCCCGACCACTCACGTCGACTCATAAGAAGAAAAAATGTACCTAATATCTTGATATAAACTTTCAGCTTGTTACAATTTCTCTTCAAACCTTTCTATTAATATATAAAACAACAAACAGAACATAAAACTAACACAAACAAAGTATCATGGTAATTTCATTTTACTTAAGGTTCATTTAGTGTACTGCTAAAGGCTTAGAAAGGCAAATATTATATAAAGCTGAGGACCCACCAGATAATTCTACTGGGAATTCATACATATAGCACAAAATCACTTTCCATAACTCCTAAAAAAATATGTAAACCTTCTACATAACAATGAATTTCATTTCAGTATATTATTTTACAGTTTCAGGATGACATTGTAAACACTGGACCTGCAGGTGCAGTGCAGCTGGTCTCCAGAGGTCAGCTGAGGGTCCAAATGGTTCCAGGGTTCCAGAACTACACTGGACCAGGGACTGTACATGAGATCACAGATGCCATTTTTACAAAAGATTACTTGTTTGCTTCTGTATAAGCTTTTCTCAGGGGTTTATGAAATCTAGCCTTGCTTTTGTTTATGAGGCTTTTCTCATCATAAAGCATCCACCTTATCTGTTAAGACTAATGCAACCTTTTACACAGTCTGATTTCTTTAAGGCAACAACAGTTTGCTAAACATTAATAATAGCAGTATTAACAAAGAAAAAACGCTGTAACTGTTTTTTACTCATGAACTATAACCTATGTTTGAGTATATGTTTAGCAGTGACCACAGTCTAAATGACAGACACATACTGCAGTAAAGGACAAACTGCTGAAACTTCCAACCACATCAAACGATTAAACAGAACTTTAACAGCTTCTTAAAAAAAGTGAGGAGGTTCTGAACATCCCTGCCTCACTCTCATAGATATATATATATACCTTATACATCAGTTGTATAGTAGTTACTAGATATTTCACTGTAGTGACTGACTAGTGAAACCTTAAGAATAATAACTGAATTATAAGGTTTCTAGGGGTATAATCTGTGAATACTTTCCTCTGATCTAATCTTTAACTGAAACATTTTTATTGACATGCAGCAATGCTTTTTGTTAAATACATTTTAATATGTTTTAGGGTTGTTATTTTTAGATTGTCCAGGTACAGGAAACTGACCCCAAGACTAGAAGCAGTGTCATGGTGAGGACTACAGAGGACGATAGTAAAATAAAGCTTAACCTGAATTCTCCATGTAGACAGGATGCTGCTTCTCTTTGTAGAAGACGAGCTGAACAGGGGGCACTGACTATGACACTGACACTGGCAGCTGGGCACTGGCAGTTGTGGTCAAAGCTGCTCTGAGAAATCACATCACAGAATTGCAGGTTCAGATGCTCTTTGGTTCTCTGCACCAGAGGAGCTGAGCACTGGTAGCTACAAAAGATAGTCACATTAAATACTGCTCACATGGAAAATCATAACCTGAATTAAAGATCCTGTTTACATCTGGGTGTGTCTTGTATATAGATTTTATTCAGATGTATTTAAATGTGGTTAAGAAACGGGTCTCCAGTTAGTCTGTTGATTGCTATGTGGCTCGACGTATACAAGTCAGCTCATAACATGATAGCCAATCGCCTGTTTTACCAGTTTCTTCCTGCTCTATTCAAAACACTGCTGTTGCCTCCAAATTCACCAGTTTTGTGGGCAATTGTTCATTTTCAATGTTTACAAGAAGACTGTTTAAATTCATTAATCTATAACATATTGTGGTAAGATGGATAATGATGACAAGGTGAAGTATACATTAACCAAACTTGCTTTATTTACTGGTGCTTTATCTAGCTTTAGTTAAACTAAATAGCTCAGCATGCAGGGCTGGCAAAGTTGAAGTCATTAGAGAAACTCATATCAGGAACTGAACTGAAAGAGCAGCTCTGGGTGTGTTAAATGCAGTCCAGGGGGTGGTCCCTCACCCATATGCAGAAGAGCAGAGGGGAGGTGTCATCACAGTGTTGGGAGGGCTTCTGATTGTTAAAAGTGTCTTGGAGAAACAGATGCATTTACACATTTATATCTCAGATCAGGTTCTGAAGTGGTTTAAGCAGTCAGATTAAAAATTGCTGTACATGTTTATTGGCCACATTTACACTTGCATTTTAATGTATATGTATGTGTATCACTGTCATGATGTAATCTTCAAGACACATCAAACAACCAGGTATAAACAGGGTCAAAAAGAACCCTGAAAAAAGAGCTTGTTCTGTGCACATTTTCTGGTGGTTTACTTAAAAAAAAATACAAGAAATTTTCAGAAAAGAACACAGCAAATTTTTGAAATGCTTAAAGTTATCTTTAATGTTAATGATAAAAAATGGATGATTTAATAGAAACCACAAAAAAAGAAAACAGGCTGATCAGTGTCTCATAATGACAGTCACAGAAGACAGAAAGTGTATACCTGGAACTACACTACATTCATATACACATGTAAGTGTACAACGTTCCAGACTTTAGAATTAGGCTGAAAGATGTAACATACAGATAAACAAGTCAAAAGCGTTCACACCCAAAAATCTTTAGTATTTTGTTCTGATTGTCTTCAGCAATAAAAAAAAATAAATAAAATTAGGACTGGATCACGCTGTATTAAAACAAATGTCCAAATATCATCAGTTGATAAACAGTTCCTTTTTGATGTTATAAGTAATTACTCCATCTTCATTTTCACACTATTTATACACACCCATGTCTTTTTCTAGCCACTAATTATCACCTGCAGTTATGTTGTGATCAGTCATTATTTTGTCTTGTGGTTCTTGGCAGTGTTGTTATAGTTTCCTGTCTGCATGTATTCCCTACTTGTTAGTGCTCCTTTCTGATCTTCATGCAGGTTATCTAGTGTTTTTGGTGTGCTTGTGGTTGTTAGGTCCTGCAGTATTATGTACTTGACTGACAGTGCTGACAACACCTCTAGGAACAGCTTTAATGTAGCCTAACAGCATTTTTAGGAATTAACAGTCTTTTGGTGATTAACAGTCTTTTGGTGATCACCTATATACATACACACATACATACAATAAGGAAGTAAGCTGAAAAGTGTCTGATATCTTATTTCACAAATTATAGAAAGACACAGCATTACTGTAATAATTTGTTAGGCCTCTGTCAGAAAACATTACATTACATAAAAAAGGGTGAGAGGCTTCTGTAGATTTTCAGTTCAGTAACTCAGCTTTATTGGGGATGTTTGATCTGAGAGTAAACTTCCGTGTCTTTAAGCTTCTGTTTTCTTCTAGTTCCTCTGGATGACGGTGGTTTATTAGTGAAACTCAGTGCTGCATAGTTCAAAGCTTCATCACATTGACCCTGAAGAAAGAGACTGTATTTAACACATTTAACTGCAAAACTAGAGGAACAAAATGAGAGTTTATCAGAAGAGTTAGAAGATCCCACAACCAGCAGATTAACCATAGTGAGCAAAATCACATTTCACAGTATTCTGAGGTGCAGGGAGGTGATATTTGAAGGTAGGGGTGATTTTAAAGTTCTGACAGAGCATTGCTAATATATTTTATAATGATTATAAACTCTACTGTTTATATGCTTCATATATTTATTTTCAAACTTTGTTTACACTACACTGGGTTTAGAAGAAAATAAATGAATCACCTGATTTACTTTGGACTGTGTGACCCTCAGCAGCATCTTCATCAAAGAATAAAAGTAATAAAGTAGCACAGAAAATCACAGCTTGTAAAAACAACAAAAACGTATTAACAATGAAAATTGGACAATCATATCAGTTTCAGTGGTAAAATCCTACCTTTATGATGACTGTTGTATAATTTTCTACACAGAAATAAAATCACAGCCAGGGAGATGATGTTTGATGCTGCTAAACCAAGAATGGCTGGGTCCAAAACACTTTTCTCTGCAATAAGAAAGCAGATCCTTATATACACACACACACACACATTTCTCAGCCACTTATCCTTCTGGGTTGCGGGGGGAGCTGAAGCCTATCAAATCTTTATAATGTAATGTAAAATCTGTGATGAATGTGATGCAGAAATTTCTTGATGCAGAAAAAGACTAATTTTAAAAATGTTGATGAAAGGCTAAAAACATAATACTAAAACATTTTCATACAACTGAATCCAGAATCTAAAATCACAGTAAATTGTAAATGGCTACATTACAGACCACAGATGTCTATCAACTCAGCTGCACAACAGAAGTGAAGAAAATGACTTTTCCATTTCTCAACAGCTAGAGAAAAATGGGAGTGAGCATGTCAGTCCCACCTTTTGAAATCAAGCAATAAATTTGAGATACATAGCTTGTATAACTGACACCATATTGTTTTTAGTATTGATGACACATGATTTTTTTCCATGAAATCTACCATATATATATATATATATATATATATATATATATATATATAGTCAGAACCCAATAGTGATTATATAATTAGAAATTATATAATAATTATATATAATTAATTATATTTATATTGCCATAACTATTTGAGTGAAAAGTACAATCTCTTGAAATTTGAACATGCATTTAAAAATTTCTTAGTATTTGGTACTCTAATAGCGGTGTACACTCGAGTTGGCATAAACTGAACAGATCAAAAATACCTGATAGTAAATTGCAAACTTCGATAGACAGATAAGAAAAAAATCAGACCTTTTTGTAGAAATACTTTAGTTTACAAATGTTCAAAATTCAAAAACATACTATTGTTAATTTCCAGATTGAAAAAAAATCCCAGATTATCAATGTGGTCTCAGACTTTTGCACTCCACTGTATCTTCTATATTTATTCTATTGGATCTAATTTCATGTTGACACCTGAACAAAGAAAAAATCCTTGTATATCTGGTACTTAGCAAATCAAGATTTTGATTCAGATTTAGTGATATCACACTATCA